ACACTAATTGTTCGACAACTTGTTTTTTTTTTTTAAACAATGCAGGATTATATAGACAGTATGGAAGGAGCTACACTGTCTGGCAGGCATGCTTCTGCTTATATATGTGATGTAGGAGAAGACTTGGCTGCATTAGGTGAAGATCGTCCAATATTTTTGCCGTCTGATCAACTGACACTCGTCCAATAATTGTCTAACATGCAAAAAGCTAAAGAACTATGTCGATATAGCGGCAAATTTGATACAAAAGCTCGTTTACACCACAAAAGCTCATCAGGTGTAAACTTGAAAATGCAGTTGTGGTTAGTTATACTTACCCTCGAGGATATCTTGAAAATATATCGATCTATGATGTGTATACACTGTCGAGTTTTTTACGTGATGAGTTAAAGGGGAACTTCAAGAACCGGCCTTTGAACAATGTTTTACATTTTTAACATCGGTTGATAGAGTATACACTGTCATAATGTGTGTGAAATTTCAAAAAATCCTTCAGTTGAACAAAGCATTTTTCTTTTTCTTGTTCACGTATAATACTCAATTATTATTTTATTGTAAAGTTTGTTGTAATATAATTTCATTATTATTATTTATAAAAGTTATAGATGTAGTACTTTTCTTCTTTTTATTTTATGTATTGAATATATTTAATGTACATTAATATTATTTATTAATGTAATTAATTGAATTATGTAGATAAATTTAAAATAAAACATTGGGTACAAATATTTTACAAAATATACACAAATGTTTTCTTAGAATTTAAAATAAAACATTGTGTATATATATTTTACAAAATATACAGAAATGTTTTTTGGAATTAATTTTTTATTATAATTGAACATCTTTGATTTAGTAAATGTCAAAAATTAATTTTTTTGTATAATCAAGAATTTTTTTAATTTGCATCACCAGGCTTAATAGTGTATTCAACATACTGTGCAATGGAAATATATTTTAAAAAAATTTCACTATGGAAATAAATTAAAATAAAAGAAATGATAAAAAAATAATCATAGTTAACAATAATTACAAATAAATCACATGTTGAAATGCTAAAAAATTTAACATATGTCAATTTCTGGCCATTAGTATATTTATTTAATGTATTTGGTCATTATCACCTAAATGATAATAATTTGTTTTTCTTTTTATATATATATAATGAAATAAAGATGAAAAATTACGTAGCATGTACAATTTTTTATAAATATTTTAGGATGAAAAGTCAATATTTGTAAAAATAATATTCTTATAATTTGAAATATGTTGTCATGTCTATCTTGAAATTAAATTAAACCATATAAATCACGAAAATTTGTAGTTTATTATAATGGATATTAATGAAAGTATTATAAAATGTTACTAAAATTATTAAAAGAAGGAATCTTTTTTATTATATTTGATTTAATCTGATTTTGAATTGTGCGTATTGAAGCAATTAATGCATATATTTTAAAAGTTTCCAAAGAAGTATGTATTTAATGTCTCAAAGTTTTTTTTGCTACTATTTTTAGTACATGATCATTTTCTTTATATAGAAACTCGGATAGGATTGTGCGCGTCGGGCCCTTCGGCCGTAATATTTTGGTTTTCTTGATGAAAGTGTATTTCAGACTTGTATAATTTGTATATATTTTTGTATATATTTAGGAATTACAATTTTACAAGTATAAAATTATATATTATATAATATAAATTATTAAAATGTCGGGTTGGGTAGGCCACTCCACCCAAGACTGGACGAATCACGTGCCCACCCTGCCATGGTGCAAAGGGAGGCCAATACCCTGCCAGGGTGACTTTGGGGCGATTGTTTATAGTTTGTACAGTAAAAAAATTAATCAAAATTCAAATTTAACTCAACGTTAACTCAACTCAACTATCCCCTATATTATCAATATAATTAAATAATATTTAATTCACTCACATAATCTATACTTATATTAAAAGCCATACTATTTACCAAAAATAGTAGTAAGAAAAGTCAACTCACATTTAATGCATACTTTATTTAGAAACTTTTTACTATATGCATTAATTGCTTGCATTTATACATTTCCTATTCAAATATGATTAAAAAGATTCT